ACGTGGGCCTTGGTACTATTTATTTTATGTAAATTACGTTTTATATCTTCTGTGTTAAATAATTTATTTTATGAAAGTTTTGTTTAACTATTGATTAATTCTTTTAAAAAAATTGAAATTTAATTTAGAAATGAAAACAATAATGATGAATTATAAGCTATATGAAAAAATATCAAGAAACACTATTCTAAAAGAAAAATAACTAAAAATAATTTAATTAAATAGTAGTCCTTAAAAATATTTTTGTAGAAGATAATTATATATATATATATATGACTTATAATAAATAAATATTTTTGCCTATATAAATTATTGTAATTGAAATTTGTCATAAATAAATATTTTTACTATATAAATTATATTTTTAAATTTATAATAAATAATGTATATTGTGATATAAAGTTGTTTTTAATTATTGATAATTTTAAACAATATTAAATTTTAATTTAAAATAAAATTAAAGTGATTTATTAAAAAAGGGAAAAAGTTAAGAAAAATTACCAGAACACTTCCTTTGAGAAAAATAAATGTTCTTGTTGAAAAATATTTTCATTTAAGATAGTTATTTTTTTAAAGGATCAACAAAATTAAGGGCGTTGTTAATGCTCTTTTTTGACTTCTAGAGAAAAATTAGCAAAATAGTATTTCACTGTCCTGAACGTTACATTTAAAGATTTATGCATAATTTTTTTTTACACGTAAAAATTTGTTATTACGCGTTAAACCACAACTCAATTGAATTATTATATTGACTTGATAGTGAGAGTTAGAGTATTATATATAATATTTATTTATTTTTCATAAACATGATTTGTATAATATTTTAATCTTGATAAATAATAATTAATTTATACTTACATGACACGTAATTTCTGTGGGTTAAATAATATCTAACACTCATGGAAGTATCCGATTTTAGATTTGAAGTTTGAACACTTTTATTGTTATGGTAATTTTTACCGAAATAAAAAAACATCAATTCAATTTTCCACCTACATTTGAAGTTTTTTTTTCTGCACGCCTATAATTAACAAAAAATGAAAACAATCTCACGTAAATAGAAAATTATTATAATTAATAATAATTTAATTTATAATTAATAATAATTTAATTTAATTGATATTATAATTTATTTCAAATTCTTAGAATTATAGTGCACTAATTTAGATAATAATTTAATTTAGTTTAGTTAATATTTATTTTAGTTCAATTTAGTTTAGTGAACTATTTATTATAGTTTAGTTTAGTTTTCTTCTAGTTTAGTTTAGTTTAACAATTTAAACACCTCTACAATTTATCATATCTTTGCTCCCTTTTCTAATTAGGTTTGGTGGGCAAATGTTTTGGCTTTTAGGTTGATGTTAAAAATTTGTTTTCATTCATTGAAATCATTTGAATTAAATCAATTTCGAGATTATAGACTTTTCAACACAACTTACACACTCTTCACAATCAGTTGAATTAAAATCATTTGAAGTCAATGCTCAGGACAGTAGCTTATTTGCGTTTCAGTCTCGAGTTATCCTTTAATTTAACGTTTATATATTATGATTGGATTTCCCCTCTTTTTTCTATAGGAAGTTTCCTTTGAAGTTGATTTCTAATTGTCATTATGTATAGTTCTCAAGAATTTGAAAATATTTTTATCACCAAAAGCATTTCCCATACCTATCTAAATTTTTTTTTTTGGTCTTAATTAGCAACTCTTGTAATGAATCTGAAAATCACACTTATGAAAAAAGAGGTATAAATATCTTCACAATGTAAATATGTTCGTCTACCTTTTTTACTTACAGTGTCAGGGTCATAGCTTTTTGTGTAGTTACGTGACTGATTGATTTGTTTAGTTGAGTTTCCGTTAGCAAAAGTGTATTATTTATTTATTTTTTTTATTTTTTTATAACACTTGATGCACAAATGTTATTCAACAGTTGATGTTAGATGAAAAACAAATGTCTTTCTTATGAAAATTAAACTACACATGAGCAAGATTTTAGCCAAAAAAATTTTATTTCAAAATGTACATATAAAGTATTTTTCCAAATGATAAAAAAGTATCTTACCAGGATAGCTTAAATATTTATTATATAAAACTCATATTTGCGATAAATTATATAAATAAATATTATATTTAAATATATAAATTATATTATATTTATAATTTACATAAATAAATAAAATTTATTCTAAATTTACTATAAATAATTTATATAATGATGCTAAATTATTTTATCTATTGGTAGTTTATTTTAAAATGTAAAATTTAATTTAGAAATAATTATAGAAATATAAATTGAATTAGATAAAAAAATTATAATATTTTCTGAAAATATTCCAATCGAGAAAAATACATAAAAACATTATTGTTAAAAAAAATTGCTAAAAATATTTTTGAGGTGAATTAATTTACATTATAACCATTATTTCAATGCGGTGGAAATAAATAATATAGCAATAGAGTTAAAAAAAATTAATAGAAATCAATCTGAAGATTGAGGAGTGATCGTAAAATAATCAATTATTAGAATTACATATTCATCCAGCAAACTTTTTTGCAGGATAGACATTCGAAACACTTCAACGGTTGAATACATGTAGGGTTGCAAAATTCCATGAGAAATTGCTAATCATGGATGTGGACTAGTTTACGTTTTACTCATTCATAGATGACAAAAACAATTAAAATAATTATTACTAATATATATTTAGATTCGGTTGGATTGAATTTATTAGGTGGGAACTCATTGGTCCTATAAACCAATCTAACTTATTTAAAGATTTGTTTGGATAAATTTATAAAAATAAAATAAAATATTTTTTTATTTTATAAGTTAAAATTAATTTATAAAAATATTTTTAATGATTTAAAAGTAAGTATTAATTAAATTTTCATATATGTTATATGATAAATATTTTAACAATCTTTATTTTATTCCTTTAATCAGCACTTTGAAAATATTAAATAACATTTGTGATATCATTAAAGTATTTTTTTTTTTTGGTACATGGACGGGGTTAAAAACTCAAACTAAAAACCTCTAAAAAATGAAACAGCTGATAAATCAGCAAGCAAAGCAAAATGGATCCAAGGAGGAGGATCCGAGAAAATAACAATTCTATTCTGCAAACTATGGCCATGTTTGGCTAAGAGATCCGCAACTTGATTTGCTTCTCGAAATATATGGGAACAAGACACCTCATGGTCATCACCCACAATAGGGACTATTTTATTCACCAAAGAGTAACTATCGTGAGTACGAATGCATCCTTGATTTAAAAACTTTACTGCCACGGCAGAATCAGTCTCAACCCAGATGGCTCCATCCCAACTTCTTTCTCGCAACAATTTGATCCCATAAAAGATAGCCCAAAGCTCCGCTCGAACCACCGAACATTTCCCCAAGTTGCACGAAAAAGCCATTATAAACTTTCCATTGTGATCCCTTGCAACTCCACCACATGAAGCAATACCATTGCTAACCGCTCCATCACAGTTAAGTTTGCACGAATCCCTTGGTGAAGGGTGCCACCGAATTGTACTTTGTTGAGTTGGAGCATCAGATATTCCACGTGGCCTTCCACCAAACTCTGCACGGAAAATCTCATTAGTTATTCCTTTAATCTGAAAAACTAACTGGGATATATCTCCCTCTATTTTGCCAAATACTACTTTATTCCTCCAATACCAAATAGATTACCAATTGATACAGGGAGAGTGAAACTGCCTGGGTCTCTGGACTTTTGAGGTAGAGACTTTTGGATAATAGCACTGCAACCTGCCTCAAGCTCCACAGTCTCTTCTTCAAGAATTCTTCTTTTCTTAGTTAATAATTCCTTCATGAATCTAGCATATGTAGGCATTTGTTCCATGGCTTCAGTGAAAGGGATATTAATCTGTAGCTTCTTGATGATGTCCAGAAACCTTGCAAATTGTCTTTCCTTCTCTTTTTTAGATGGGGCATGAGGGTAAGGTAAGTCTTTAATAGGAACAGTAGAACTAACTTCCTTGCCCTTCTTTTTATTCTTCTCCTTCTCAACTTCATTTTTATCTTTTATTTTCTCACTATTTACACTCCCACTCTTATTTTTTTCTCCCTCATTCTTCTCACTTTCTACCTCAACCTCCTTCAATTCATTATCTTCTCCCTCATTCTCAGCACCCTCATTATTCTTACTCACTCCAACATCTACACCAACTACCTTCCCACTTCTTGTTGTTATAGCTTTACAATGGTCCTTGGGGTTAGTCATGGTATTGGCTAAAAATGGGCCTCCAGACATGTCAGCTAATTGTTTAGCTAGCTGACCCACCTGCACTTCTAAATTCTTGATGGAAGCTTCAGTGTTTTTCTGGTTGTTCATAGACACCTGCATGAACTGGTTCAGAGTCTCCTCCAATTTACTAGTTCTTTCATGAATAGAGGGATACACAGGTTGTTGTTGCTGTTATTGTTGTGGTGGTGGCCTATTGGATGTTCCAGATTCATTCCTCCATCCATATCCTTGGTTGTTGTTGTTGTTTCTCCAACCTTGATTTCCCTGCATATAATTGTTAGTGTTATAATTACGAGAATTAAAATTACCTCCTTGTTGTTGGTTCCCCACATAGTTGACCTCTTCTTCATTTGGAATTTCTGAACAGTGACCATTGGGATGATCTCCTCCACAAAAATCACATTTTAAGGAAGGATTTTGTTGAGTTGAAGAAGAAGCAATAGCATGAAGCTGTTGTGGAATCTTGCCCATCTGTTTAGTCAATGCTTCAATTTGTTGAGACAGCAGTTTATTCTGAGCAAGGATTGCATCATTAGTGTTAAGATCAAGAACTCCTCTTTTATGGGATTGATGTCTTCCATGCTCTGCTTGGTGATCAGAAGATGCTAGAGACTCTATAATTTGAGTAGCCTTTTCTGGACTCACAGTCATCATGGTGCCACCAGCTGCTGCATCCAATAACATCTTCACCTCAGGCTTGATTCCATTGACAAAGAAATTAAGTTGAGCTATATCTTCAAACCCATGGTTAGGACATTTTCTGAGCAATGACTTAAATCTCTCCCAGGCTTCACAAAATGGTTCATCTACACCTTGCCTGAAAGTAGTAATTTCTGACTTAGCCTTAATATACTTGGATGAAGGATAAAATCTGTTCACAAACTTGTTTTCCACATCACCCCAGCTTGTCAAACTTTGATTTGGGTGAGATTGTAACCAAACTTTAGCTTTTCCTGTCAAAGAGAATGGAAACAACCTCAAATATACAGCTTCCTCATCAGCCTTAGGAATTCCCATAGTTCCACATAACTCATAGAAATTTGATAGGTGTGAGTATAGGTCTTCATGATCAAGGCCAACAAATTGTTGTGAGCTAACCAAGGTAAGGAAGGCAGGCTTCATCTCCATAGCTCTAGAAGTGTTTGGAGCTGCGATACTAGAGAAATGTCTAGGACCCTGTTGTTGTGCATAATCACCTAGGGTCCTTCTGGGAGGCCTGGTTGGTCCATTTCCACCAATATTATTTCATGTTCCGTCTTCAGCCATTGGTTGATTTGATGAAGTAGAAGAACTTGGAAAATCCTGTTGTTGTTCTAGGATTCTCTCTAACTGTCTCAGCCTTCGTGTTCTGCTATTATTTCTCCTTGCTGTTCTTTCGATTTCAGGGTCAAAATGCAATTCTTCAGCTGGAGTTTTTCCTCTCATACAATTTTTAAGAAATCTGCACGGGAAGGTGAGTCCACAAAACACAACAAGACAAATATCTCTATATTATAGCTATTCACAAAATAGATTATCTACACAATTACAAAATCACAAGATTAAGAATTACTAATTAGCACCAAATCCCCGACGACGGCGCCAGAAACTTGATGAGGTTTTTTTCGCAACCTACCACTTGGCAAGTGAACCAAGTTTCGAAATAGTATTTAAAGATCGTCCTTAGGGATTTGAGTATTTAGTAATTCTTGCTCTAATGATTTATAAGAAAATGATGTTCAAATTGCAGATGAGTGAAAATAGATAAAACAACACAGTAAAACAAACGTAGTAAAAAAAACAATGGTTAAGAAACAAGGATTGGTTTGGAAGCACTTGCTAACTCGTAGATCTTCTTAAAATAAATGTTATTCTAATTCCATTATTTCCAAGTTCATTAAGTAATTCAACAAGATTCCTCAAGGTTGAATCCTAAAGTCATTAAGCTCAAAACATGATTCCTCTATGTTTTGAGTTCAACACTTCGCATTAAGAACAAGAACTTGAAACATATGACTAACCAAATCAAGTCTATCCCTATAACAAGAATTGATTAGGTGCAAGATTTAGTTCAGGTTTTCAAAAACGTTTTCCAACTGGATTCAAAAACCAAAAATCATACAACGGGTGATCAAGCCGATATAAGCATTAAGTAAAGAATCATACACAAATAATGAGATTAAAATACATATATTTAAGAAAAAGAAGAGTTAGTAGTTACATCCAACCAATCCTCAATGAATTTAGCTACCCATGGCCATTACAATTTCTCCAGCAAATTCCATAAGAGAGTACAGAGTTGGAAGTGAAAAATAGAGGTTTTGGGAGCTCTCCCTACGTGACCCAGCTGCTACCACAAGTTCAGTGTCATCTAGTTGTAGTCTCCAATCAATGTATATACAGCTGTTTTTGCATTAGTGTTTCAATTAGTGGTTTTCCACTAATGATTCCCCTTTTTTTCTTGTTTGTTTCTCCTTAATTTCAGGCCCTTTGTCTTTCTTTTTAATTTAGTGCTCATGTGCTTCTTGTTTCTTTCCTAATTTTGTGCCCCACTGTTTCTCCTTAATTTTGGGCCCCAAATATGTTCTGTCCAAGGAAAAGTTGGGATTTTTAACCAAAGGCTGCAGCTCTAGAGGTGCTTCCATACGCACAAAGCTTCAAGGCTGCAGCTCTGGAATGGGGGCTGCAGCTCCAACTCTCTGGAATTGGTTTATATACGCACAAAAGGTTCAAGGCTGCAGCTCTGGAATGGGGGCTGCAACTCCAACTCTCTGGAATTGGTTTCTATACGCACAAAAGCTCCAAGGTTGCAGCTCTGAAATGGGGCTGAAGCTCTAACTCTCTGGAATTGGTCCAGGCTTCACGGCTGCAGCTCTGATTCTGGAGCTATAGCCTTAACTCTCTGGAACACTTCTTTTTGGTTTATGCTTCATGGCTGCAGCTCTGGTTTTGGGGCTATAGCCTTGGATTTCCAGTTTTATCAAAACCTACACAAAAAAGGAATATTTTCAACCAAAGCAACTACACTCTTCTAACTCCTTAGATTAATCCTAGTTCATCTATTTGGAGGGCAAACATAACCAAAATTACTTATATCTCTTCCAAAATAAGTGCCAAATTAAGCATAAAAATATGCAATTTGAGCACTTATCAAGGGTGTCGCAAGTGTCATCAGGGACATGTTTTAGGGGGATCTAATTGCCCCAAGTGCATGTTGTGTTGTCTTCTTGCTAGGTGATTAGCCGACTGGGGATTATCATGTTGAAAGTACCTTGAGCTTCCCTTTGGCTTGCTTATTCCTCTAGAAGACTTTTCTGGTGTTGTGCCATTCAGAGAAGGCTATGTTTTAGCCAGACTTGCTGGGAGGTGGACTTGACTATCCAGTAGCCTTCTTGGTTGATCTAACTTTGCTTTCCTATGGAATGAGGGCAATCTATGCCCCTAGTTTTGCTTCTTTGCTATCCGATAGCCTGGTCAACGGTTTAGCCTAGTACAACTCTAAGGTTCATTGTTGATTATTGTTTCTCCGATGGGGAAATGAATTTTATTTTCTAAGCTTCGACTTTTTCTACATGATGAAGCTTAGCCTTTTGTTGTATATTTTTTGCCTTTTTCTTAACTGATTTATTTTTGGGTTTTACTTGCTAAATGAAAGAGAAATATTGAATAAAAAAACTAGCTTTTCAAAAATTTGCATACATGATGTGGAAAGTTCAATCAGAACAAAGGAAAGCTACAAGAAAGAAAAATAAAGCCTAGTGATCGGCCGGGGGGGCGGTTTGGAAAATGATGTTGCATCCACTCAAACATGCACTCTTGATGTTGTTTGATCTTGGTGTGGTGGCGATCTGCTACATCAAATCAAAGTTCCATGGTGTTAAAGCGACGGTCCACCTACTCACTTAAGAGATCTAGGCGTAGACCAAATTGGTTGAAATAGACCTCACTAGCCACATGCATCTACTTTATGCAGCGTTGGAGGTTCCCCACATCTTTCTGATGGAACTAGTTGAAGGAGAATGAAGTTCATTCAAAACTTCCATGCTTGGACCGTGATACTTCTTGAGGTTGACACCTTTAGATCTCTGAAATCTCCTTTGAAGAAGCTTCAATGGAGGAGAAGTCTTAGAAGAAGGTTCGGCCACTTCCTAAAGCTTGTGAAGGAAGCTTGAGGAACCAAAGCAAAGTTGAAGAACTTTGCTAGAAACCTAGAGTGAAGGTTCTCTACGGTTTAGGGACTATTGAGTGAGAGAGAAAATCAAATTTCATTTCTCAAAATGTTCAAAAGTCAAATTCGTGAGGAACCTTCTCCTAGGTTCTCTGTCAAAGTTCCTTCTCCTAGAAGCTTGGTTTTTTAAGCTTCTTTACTTCTTTAAGAGGTAACCGAACCTCTCTTAGGTGCTTCTCCACCATTGGAGAATCCTCCAAGGTGATTCTGCCACCTTCAAGGAGTTCAACCTCATGGAGCATTTCGGTCCTTGCATGGAAAGCTTAGAAGAATATCAATCCTTTCCAAGTGCTTCCATCAGTTTTTGGTATCTAGAGCCTAGTGCTCTTGAGGTTTTTGTTTCTAACTTTTTCTACTTGAATCCGTGTTGTATCTTCCTTTTCTATGTCTTAAACTTGTCTTTGCTGTATGGATCTAGTTCTAATACATTGTTTGATGGATCCTATATGTCAAGTATGAGTTAATTGATTCATGTTTGCTTGTTTCTAATTCTTCTTGAATCAATTGTTGTTGTGCGCCTAGGTTATCTTGTTCTTGTGCGTTTTTGATGTTTATTTGAGTCTCTCCATTCTATAACATGTGTCCGTGATTGGACAACATTCATATTGCATAGATTTTTTTTTTTGAATCACTTGTTTTGTCCTAGAAAGTCATGTTCCTTTGTATGTTGAAAATTCCTAGACTAGCTTGTTTGACCTAATTTTTGTTTTGTGTTGTTATGTCCAAAACTTTTGTGTCCTTGCTTATTAAATCTGTACCTTACTATATGTGCTTTTGCTTTACATGATTGAGTTCCTAATTTGCTATTAGTTCATGCAAATTTCTTAGAGTTAGGTTTCTATTATGTCTTGTTAAAAAGTTTTGTCAAAAAAATTGTTAAACACTTCTCCTATTAGGTTCTTTGTGTCTTGTTATGTGGCTGAAACTTATTGAAATTTTTTGAACCTTAAAACAGAGGCAAAACAGAGGTGTGAGTGTCCTAAATGCATGAGAAAAACAAAAGAATGAGTGCTTAAAAATTTTACCTAAAAACAATACAAAATAGTGAAGCACTAGTTACAAAATGCATGTGAACACCTCTTGTTTTGTGTGAAATTTTTGCTGCAGTATTTTTACATTAAATCCGAGACTTATAAGTGTTTAAAAGGCATTGAAACTCCTGAACATCAAAATAAAAATAAGTGAAAAAATATTTTGCAAAAGAAAAAGAAGGAAAATAGGAAAAGAAAAAGGCAAAAAGGAGTGAAAATTTGTTGTGTGTAGCTCTCGGTTTTGGTACTATTTTTTGCATATAAATTCTTTGACCAGCCACATCATTTGTGTCTTGTTTTTGTTTCTAATCTTAGATTTGATTTTGTAATACATTCTAGTGCCTTTCATAGGTTATCCTTTGTGTGCTAGCTTTATAAATTTGCCTTAATTTTTGTTTGTCATTTTTGTGGAACTCCTTCTAGTTTGTCACATTTTACTCTACCATTTGGTGTAGCCATTTTAAATTGTTCCTTTTCAGTTTTTGAACTAGTATTCCAGCATCTTAAGGTGTGTTGAGTGCCTCTTGGAAGGTGTTGAAGGCCAAGCTCAAGGTTAGCCAAATTGAAGGACTTTGGTGGTGACTTTGGAGCTTGTTTCTCATTGGTTGGGACTCTTGGAAATTCAATACAAAATTCAAACACCTAGGAGTAACCATCATTAAGGTTACTTCTAATTTTTCCGTTGGAGCGTAGCTTTATGTCGTTGCAAATGGAGACTTATTCATGACTATGTAAATCTTCTCATTTAATGCATTTGATCTTGCATTAAATGTTTGCTTGTATTCGTGGAGTCTCTCTGTGTAGTTGATTACTTGAATATCTGACTACAATCATGTTCTAGGTATACTTGTACTTTCCTCATCAGTTTAGCTGCTGAGGTGCTGTCTTTT